CAGAATCACGTCGTCGCCACAGGTGGTTTTAGTCCTGCGTACGCTGCTCCAGCCTTGGGATTGCGGGCGGCTACCTCCTTTGATGGCTACCATGCAAACTACCTGGCCAGTCATTTGATGGTGGAGGCTCACCCATTTTACATTTGGGAAAAATTACGAATTTTTCCTCCGCTTGTTTCCTAAAATTCGTCTAAACTTCCTACCAATAAGATAAATTCAAATAACATATAAATGCTAAAATACAATAGACTTGAAAAATTGATTGACCCATAAAAGACCAATTCACAGAGTTCTTTCTCTAAGGTCATTCACCCCTTAAAGTTCGGTGGTTTGTGTATACACTTAGACTGATCCCGACGGGAAGCGAGTTTGCACTGACAGCGTTTCATCTGATAACCGCATGAGTACCCGAATGATTCATTGAACTAGTTTCTTTTTTCTCGTATTGGTGATCTACTCGAAACTCTAAACACAGCTGTTCAGTTCGAACAGTGAGAGCGAATCACTGAATGTGCGTCAATCAGCTACACGGTTTTCTGAAATCAAATGTATCTTCCGGTTTTTAGAAATTATATTTTTTCTATTCCTAAAACTGTGAATACATTTGTGTATAACAAAAATCATGACACATTATTGCTTTTTATTGTTGTCATTAAACACTCCCTTACAGAGAATGAAGGCATTTGTTAAGCCGACCCGGCTTGTCGTCACCCTGGACTTCCGCGGACCATCTGGTCCCGACGAGCCCTTGACCGATAATCAATTGGCATTTGTGGGCTCCGTGAAAATCACAGCTTGGGAAGGGATCCGCATCGACGGGGACGGTTTTTGGCTTCGGCTGTTTCGGCTGATACATCGCCAAAATCTACTAGACAGCCCTATCCGTTCGGCAATTGAGACCACAATCAGAAGACAATTGCACAAAGTGCTAACCAAATACCGTCCGTCAAAAATTTTAGAACTTGTTTTTAATTCTGGGAAATTGTCAAACAACACCGCTGGGAACAGCACTACATCCAGTTCAAGGGAAGTCGGTTGAATCTACCCTGGAAGTTTGGCCATCCTCGGTCTTTGTCGTTTGCGTCGTTTTAGCACCGTTCGTGAAACCAAATGCACTTGATAAATGAAGATGGAAACACTGGAACATTCAAATCCCTTAACCACCTCTAAACCGTGTTCTCATTTATATTGTTTTCTTTTTATGTTATTTACCTCTATTTATATTTCAAATCATAACTTTGTTATTGATCTGTTTTTCTTATTTTAAAGAATAATTTTCAGAAAAAATATGGTGAAATAGCAATGGTATGATATTTGATAATTGTACTCGATTAACAAATGAAGGATAATTTCGCATTTGTTCCTGTTATCGGACCTTAGTCTTGTTCCTGGTACACTCGAAAACTATTCATTCTTGACCGGAACTTGTTCCTCATATAGGTGACGAAAAAGCTGCAAATTTATTTTTTATGCAATGTGATGAGATAACTAATGCACCGGACGGATGTCGAGCTTTGTCGCGTTCGTTTATCCCCTGGACTGAGACAATGGTCAATCGTACATGCAATAGAGTTTGAGCTATTGTCGCATTTAGTGTCAACCTACTTTATTCTCTCAAGTAGGCTAATTAAAACATTCACAAATTGTTGATAAACGTAAAAGCCATTGCGGTCCGTTTATTGTGCCTTACATCTGAAAACCATAGTGGATGAAGGTTCAAATACATTATGTGCAATACTAAAACAGGAAAACAAGAACATGAGGGAGTGATTGAGTAAATTGATCGCTTCGTAAGTGTATCCGCTGGGAGGAGTGGAAACGAAGGAGATGTATAGAGCAGAGTGCAATTTTCTTCAAGCCAAGAGCACACCAACATGCGCTTTTGTGTGCGTGTGTTTTTGGTACCAATCAGTGCCAGCGAAGTCGTGTGGGGGTGATAAGCAGTCGTGTTGCGGGTTTTGGATCTCCGCCCCCTCCCCTCCCCAAAATAAAAGACTAGCTTCTGAATCGTTGGGAAAAAACGTGCATTGACTTGCATTTGCAGTGAGTGTGAATGTTGAAAGACTTTTGGAGACACCGGCGATTTAGCGTGACGGATTTGTCTCAAATCGAATCATCCTCGGGCATTGTGAAACTGAAATGGCAGAGAACAGATAAAGCCAAATGACTGTGATGATGACTAATAGATTTATTATTCGCGAATGTAATAAGTCTAAAATAGTTTTTTTTTTATTTAAAAGCGAACAGTTTTAAAGAATAATGGAGCGATGAATATAAAATGAAGCATTCTCAAATATCTCCATTAGTTGATTGGTTTAATTGAAGTGCAATTTATATTATAGATCCTTTAAATCGATCGTTCAAGCTGAAAACAGGATATATTATTATTCCTAGCATATATATATATGTCTAATCAAAACTGAAGCAACGGGTCCCAGTGAAACACTTGTCGGTTCGTATAGGCATCAACATTTATACTGAAGTAAATTGTTTTTCCAACTAATAATAAGCAAGTTTTGGTAGGTCTTTGTAAACGTGATTTTCCTGATTCATTTATACTCAGCAGATGGAATGGTGCAGAATGTACAGGATACTCCCATTTCACCGGTAGTGGTTGACCTAGAGCATGATGAGTTAAGAGGTAACTAAAGAGAATGGAACAGCTTTTATCTACAACAAATTAACAATTATAATAATTAAGATGTAAATTTTGTGTACACTATTAGTCGATTGGTTTGCCTTTGTTCTTTAGGACTTTTTCGAGCCTCTTCGGCATCGAATCCACCGACTTTATTATGAAGTCATTTTCTGTTTTGTGCTCCATTACGTATCACACTTTAGCCTCCAATGGCCAAAGTACAGGTAGCACATTGACCTCTCTCTTCAAAACAGAAAACAGATTTACAATCACGTTGAGCTCCGGGCTATTAGGGGGAAGTTGCATAAAACGAACCTTGGAGTCACGCATCTTTTCTGAAGTCTAAAAGTAAATAATAAGTGAACCAGAATCCTTAACTAAATACATTTACTAACCTCTCGTGAAACATGACACGGAGCGTTCTTCTGAAAAACGATAACTTTTCCAGACAATTGTTTTTCATGAAATTNGTCATTACTGATGCAGATTTCCCACTATTCATGGTGCCTTTGATTGATGTCCACTGACAAGGCTGACCATGTTTTATCCCTGCCCAGATGAGCAATCTCGACGGGTGAGAAGCTCTTTCATTTGGTGGAATAATTTCTTTTAGGAAATTCTCACTACAAATTACTTTTTTGTGAGCCTTCCAAAGCTTGTCG